AGCTACTTGGGAGGCTGAGGCAGGAGACTCGCTTGAGCCCAGGAGTTAGAAGTTGCTGTGAGCTGTGATGCCATGATGCCATAGCACTCTACCAGGGCTACAGCTTGAGGCTCTGTCTCAAAAAAAAAAAAAACAAAAATAGTGAAGTGTTAATTAGTTTGATGTAATCATCAAAAAATGTATACATATAGCAAAGCATCACAGTGTACACCATAAATATGTACAACTTTTATTTGTCAATTAAGAAAGGATTTTGTAAGAATTCATGTTGCCCTGATCTTTTGATGTGGAGGTAGGGGCTTGGCACAGAGGGGAGGGAAGGATAATAAAGTCTCACTGGTAAATTTTCTTAAAATATTTACGTATGAAATATTTTTCATCTACTTTGAAGTTTTTTGGTAGAAATTGTGTTTCAATGCTTATTTTTTGTGTTCTTCGTAACTCACTTTTTTCATATTACTGGCTCTATAGGAAGAAATGGACACCAGACCAAAGGTGTCTTCTCTCCTCAACCGCATGGCCAACTACACTAATTTGACACAAGGAGTAAAGGAGCATGAAGAGGCAGAAAACATCACGGAAGGGAAAAAGAAGCCCACCAAGGTGGGGCCTTAGAATAACAAGGGTAGATTAGAAGAACCTTGTATCTGAGAAAGGAGGAAATACCCAGGGCATCGTTCTATGTTTAGTTACTATTAAATGTCTGATACATTCCTGGCACTGTTCTGGACTTTGGGTCACGATACAAACAGAACATACAATGTTCAGGCTATCATGCTGTCTGAATTCCAGTGTGGGGAGATGGTCTTTAAGTTGTTTACTGTGTTAAAATATATAAACAAAAGTGTTGATAAGTGCTTTAACAAAAATTTAAGCAGTATAAAGAGACAAACAAGCCCAGAAGCCAGGATGGACTGAAACTAGCCAAGAAGCCAGGATAGACTTCTAAACCAGGAGTGTTTCTGGTTTAGATAGGTTGGACAGGGAAAGCCCTTTGGACAAGGTGATATTTGAGCAGAGATCTAGCTAATTGAAGGGAGCGAGCCATAAAGGAAGAGAGCATTCCAGAGAGAGGGAACAGGACTTCCAAGAGAAGAGCGTCCACACTCATCTGCCAATGCCATCTGTCTGTGGGGATGTTGTTGGGCTTTTTAAAGAACAATTATCAGTTTGTCTCAAAATGAAAATATGAAACATTTGATTAATTTAGTGTTCTGGTTGTTCAGCTGTTTGAAAGGGATAAAATAGCCCCAATATCTTTATTATCTCCTTTACCAACTACTGAGGAGAATTTTTGCCAAATTCTGGAGCAGTTCTATCAAGTTTTTATTCTGTTTTTAAATGAAGAAAATGCCAACAGCTTTGAAAAACAGAAAATTTTAAATTGTGGGGGCGCAGGAAAAAAAAAGTTTATTTGTGGCCAAATGCCTATGTATAATAAAAAAAGTGTGGGAACCTGTCTATGTAAACTAAAAATATATAGTTCTAGGAATAATAAAATTATAGTGATAAACATTTGAAAGATGGAAGTTTTATGTAGGTTGCTACAGAAGTTTTGAGACAGATTGCATCATGGTCCTTTATTTCATTTCCAAGAAACATAGTCGACAGCCTCCTTTCTGATTTACCCATGCAGGTTTCAACTTGCTCAGCTTATTGGTACTGCTGGGAAGGTTCATTTGCTTCCATCTGTGTGGAGTTTATGTTTCTTGATTTTTGTGTATTTCAAAACTTTTGTAATGACCCACATATGTGCCTTTTTAAAGATATTGTTTAAATTTGGGATCTCTGAGATTAATATGGTAATTGGGGTGCAAATGGTTATATAAAAGTGAGAAAGAATAAAAACCTTTTTAAGATGACTATATAATTTTTGTGTCTTGTCAACATCTTTCTTTCCAGACCCCCCAAATGGGTACCTTCATGGGTGTCTACCTCCCATGTCTACAAAATATCTTTGGAGTGATCCTCTTTCTGCGGCTTACATGGGTAGTGGGCACAGCTGGAGTTCTTCAGGCTTTTGCGATTGTCCTTATCTGCTGCTGCTGTGTAAGTCCTGCATTGGCCCCTACAGATCACCTGCAACATTGTGAGATCTCAAATTGATGCACTTGACCTCTTTGGGAAGGAAAAAAAAATACTAGGGAAAGACTTGTAATCTCAACAAGAAAAATGATTCCAACCTAAAGGACTTTTAGTTACTTAGTGGCTATTATTCACTGCTTGCTATCTATTATATGATGTACTAGAAGTCACAAAGTCAGATTCAAGTGGAAATCATGAAGAATTCATAATCCAAACCATTTCAACTTGATAACATCAAAGTTGTGACAATAAACATGTTAGAAAATGTGATGTAGTAGGAGACACAGGGTGAGATTCACAGTTCTTTAATAGTACATTACCTCCTGATTAATGATATAGGGACATTTTAACAGAATACTCCAGATCGCAGTAGTGTGATGGCAATGAGTTGGACCACATCATCTTACTTTGTACCATTAAGTACGACAAGCCTCTTCCATAAAAGGAAGTAGAGTTAAATGTCTGATAAGTAGTACTCCGAGGTCTGCAGATAGGAAAGTAGTACAGAAATGTCATCTTTCCACAGTAACAATCCTCTTCTCTTCCTTTCTCTACAGACATTATTAACTGCTATCTCCATGAGTGCCATTGCCACTAATGGAGTGGTACCAGGTTAGTAGGCCAAGGTTTGGTTTCAGGAATTGTCAGTAATTACTCTTGTGATTATGCAGTAGAGCCAGAGGTGCAAACTATTTAGTGTGTTCTGTGGTATAGCGGAGAGTAATGGCCTATAAGACATAGACAATAATACTATTTGTAGGATACTTTCTTTAAAATCTGTTTTCAAAACTAGAATACTTGAATTTTAGCCACATTCTTAGGTCCTTTTAATTAAAATATATTTTATTGGCCTATCTTTATATCTTTACTACATGCCTATAGTAAATATTTCCTTTTTTTTCCTGAGTAATACTGGCAAACTGTAATGCTTCAGGAGGCTCGTTACATGGGTAGTACATCCTATGATAAAGGTTCCATCTTTTATTTCCCATTAGTAAATCATTTTATCACATTCATGGTTTTCAGAAGTCTGAAACATTTGTCCTTCATGCAGATTTTTATTCTTATTCATGACTTATGTTCCTCTTTCTAATGTTCTCTCTTTATCCTGTTTACCTTCTATTTTGTCCTTCAGCTGGGGGCTCATACTTTATGATTTCCCGGGCACTGGGCCCAGAGTTTGGTGGGGCTGTTGGCCTCTGCTTTTATCTTGGTACCACATTTGCAGCAGCCATGTATATCCTGGGTGCCATTGAAATCTTTCTGGTGAGTAAATGATGACTTAATTTTGGTCTACTGTATAAAAAAATACATAGGTTTGGGGTTATTTATTTCTTTGATATTAAAGCTTCTGAGAGATCAGCTACAGTCATATATCAGGTGATTGACAACTTACCTGCTGCTGGTCTTCTGTGAATATGAGATAGAAACGTTGAAGCACCTACTCTTGGCCACGCAACCCCTTGCCCTCCATCCAGTCACCAGCACTCTACCACTTCACCCAAGAAGTTAAAGTCTTAGAGGGAAGACTTGAACCAATAGGAAAAAGTAAAAGAAAGTTTATCTTTTTGATATCTTCATCTCCATGAAGAAAAATGTTTTTCATTTCTCTATTCACTGAGATATATTTTTTACTACTGAAAGTAGTAATAACAGAACCAGAGCTCAAGGTAATCATTATACATTATAATTATTTTATATAACCCTTTGCAAACAGTTATTCATTTATTCCTTTTTTCCCATTTGGAAATACAGTTATTCATAACAGCATGTAGACCAAAACAAGAAAATCCATGGTATCCCATTGGTGTAGGCATTTCTGATCCAAATTGGAATTAGGCTAATTCTTAAGTCATTTTCTGTCCCAGCTTTGTTTTTGTTTGTGAAAGCAGAAAAGTACTACACCCCTTTTAATTCATTATTTTGAAATGATCTAATTTTTTTTTTTTTTTTTTTTTGCTTAACAGGTATATATTGTCCCCCGGGCTGCCATCTTTCGCAGTGATGATGCACTCAAGGAATCAGCAGCCATGCTAAATAACATGCGTGTCTATGGCACAGCCTTTTTGGTCCTCATGGTATTGGTGGTATTTATCGGCGTACGCTATGTGAACAAGTTTGCCTCTCTCTTCCTGGCCTGTGTCATTGTGTCCATCTTGGCCATCTATGCTGGAGCCATCAAGTCTTCTTTTGCCCCTCCACACTTCCCGTATGTGTCTGTCTCTCTTTCTAGTCAACATTATTGGGGCAATCATTGACAGTCTGGGGGCATGCTAGTTTTAAGCCAGACTATCACAGAGTCTTTCTCAGATTTTCCTCTTTGATAAGCCCAAATGGGCTTCCTTCCCAGCCTAGGCAGAAAGACTCCCAGAAAGCTGTGTCCTATTGATCTACTTCCTTATGTTCCAAGCTTTGAATTAGCAGCTGTAAGCTCCACTATCTAGACATAGATAATAGGTTTTTTTACCCCGATGATTGTACATATTAATATTTGAACTATTAATGAATAGCTGTACAAACAATGTAATTACTGCCAGTAGCCTTAATAAGTTATTTAAATGTTTAAAGAGTAGAGAACTTGTGGCCTCAAGGCCATAGTGGCCCTCCAGATCCCCACTTGGGGCCACTTGACTGAATCCAAACTTCACAGAACAAATTCCTTTATTTAAAAGATTTGTTTTGTAAAATTTGAATTCAGTCGGCTCAGCGCCTGTGGCTCAACCGGCTAAAGTGCCAGCCATGTACGCCTAAGGTGGCGGGTTCGAATCCCCAGCCCGGACCCGCCAAACAACAATGAC